AWRAWWAWYWAAAAAAAAACTTATTACAAATGTTTTTCTCCGTCCAGTCAGCCTCATGTATTACGCAAATGAGTACACAGGATTATACAAAATCACAGAAAATTTGATTGAAAGGTGTTTGATTTGAAATGTACTACTAGACCAAAATAGCGAGGCAACAGTAGCGGGGATTTTAACAATGATTGTGCCCCGACAACCGGGGGAAATGTCTTATTTTAACACCACTCAAACGTTAAATTCCCCGATATTGACTAGTGCATAAAAGTCGCTAAAAGTGTAAATGATACAGACTAAAGATATTTCATTTGGGTGTAATAATACTAGTAACGAAAGAAACTTTTCTCAGGCTTAAAAAAACATTCAAGAACCCCCCATTTTACCACATCTATCGACATTCCCACCACCAATAACATAATGAATGGTCCCTTGTAGATCACGCATGTTGACATCTGCCATCACTAATTCCATAGTGTTGTTGAAACCCATTACATAATCTGCCTTTCTCTTCCCGCGAAAATTTAAATAGTCTTTATTTATGACTAACGAGATCAAGTGGACTACGAGTTGATATTCGATGTTACGAGACCAAGTAAAGATAAAAACGGACCACAGTGCAGAAAAGGAAAAGTGTTTAACGCGTCTTTTGCAGCAAAAGAAAGTTGCACGTACAAAAAGTTTGTTAATTGCAGAAGATCGCTCTCCCCATCGATGTTGCGCGTCAAACTCAGTCGCTTCTCTTCAGCGGCGCGCAATGCATAAAGGGAAAGGCGAAGGAAAGCTGCGAAACGACATTCCTTTTTTTCTCATTCCCATCAGCCCCTTCGAGCTTATCGAAAAAAAATCGTAACGACTGGATACTAATCTGGTTACGCGTATTACTCCAACAAACCAACTTGTCTCGCAGCAAAATGACGTCGCTCGTCAATCAGCTGACCGTATTTGACAATCAAGATTCACTGAACAAATTACTTTGCTAACAAGTTGGTTCAAGTCATGTTGCGAGACCAGTKGGACGACTTGCTCTCGTATTACCGTACCTTAACGCAATATAAATATTTACKGAGTATGATATTACATATCAAGTGACCATGCGAAATTGGGATGCAACCCCGGAAAGCAAACTTTAGCCAACATTATTGAATCACGGAATGTGACGTCATTTATCACGTGACTACTCTATGCTGCAACCGGAGAAAKTGCGCTAATAGCKTCTAGTTGTTATTTGCTTTTTCAGAGGGCCGAGTTATTTTAGACAGAGACAGAGACATAACAACTAGAGGAAAGACATTTCAAGTTGACTGTAGTACAGAGGGTGAGGGATTTGATGGATGGTATGACAAGGAAGGCAAGAAGATCACTTCCACTGCAATATTTGAGAAGATGTACGTAGCCAGTTATAAGAACTTACATTCTCTATACGTGCAAAATGTGAAAGTAGCCGATGGWGGGAACTACACTTGTAAAGGAACAAAGAACAGTAAAATCTTTGAATTATATGTCGAGTGTAAGTAACACTATTCATGCATCACTACGCTAGCAGTATTATTCGTTCAAGAGTCTCTGTGTGTATGATTTTTAATAGATGGGTTGCATATATCCCATTCTTTAAGCACATAGGATGTTAGCACGAAAAATGGAGTAAGAGTGGCGCGAAGCACCCCTCACCCCTCTGGCAATAATTAATTTTTTTGTGTTTTTCAGTTTATGTTACTAAATTCCCAAGTTCGATTAAAATGAATGCAAGTGAAGACGCCATCATACCTTGTTCAGCCATTGGTTACCCTCCTCCCATCTATAGATGGTACAAAGACTGGCAGACAGACGAGATATTCAACTCTAACCGTCATACCATTTTACCAAATGGCTCTCTTTTGATAAAGAATGTAAAAGTCGAAGATTCTTCAAACTATACGTGTCGGATTATTCAACTCGCGAAAAACAACAGACCTAGAGAGGAACGAAAACATGTCCAGGTTATAGTGTATGGTAAGTGTCAGACGAACTCACCTTATTTAAGATGATAACATTTGCCTACTATACTATACAATGCAATTCAACTTAGGTCCTCCAATACTGGACACTGCCAAGTCAACAACTCGACCAGTGTATTCCTACAAGGGCAAYAAAAGGATTGTTATCATCTGTAGATGGCGGGGTTCTCCTGTCCCTAAAAAATCTATTTCCAGACCCCATGGCCGTGGTTTACTCAAAGATACCAAAACCTCAGGTCGTACTATATTTGGATTTATACTTACTGAAGATGAAGAGGATTTTGGCGAGTATGTGTGCAAAGCTAGCAATTTCCTGGGTGAACGGAAACATACAGTCATTGTTAAGGAAGCAGGTAATTTCCATTCTTTTTCTTTCTCTTCAAGGGTTTTATTCTTTATTTATTCTTGTATTTCTGGCAGATGTAGTATGGGTGTGAATTTAACTTTTTTTCTCAGATAACCCCCAGGCACCATCGAATATCTCAACGGTTTCACATTGTGGCTATATCACAGTTCATTGGAATAAGCCAGTGTTTGACGGCGGTTTAGCCATCACACTTTACGAAATAGAGCTTCTCGAGTCGGGTATTTCAAAGGATGACGCGACGACTGGTAGTAATAGACGATGGTATACGTTTAACAGTGGAATCGTGAAACCAGCGACGCAGTACACTGTACGAGTAAGAGCAAGCAATTCTGCCAAAGAAGGACTGTGGGCCGTCTTGCAGATTACCTCTGATATATGTAAGTTGACAGCAAAWATATCAAGKTTGAGTATGCTGCAAGTTGCATAGGACGCCATCATTTAATTATATATTGGTTTGAAAACTTTTTATCATCATCATCATCATCATTATTGTTATGTTCATTRTATTTTTTTCTAAGGTCCCCCAAGTGGTAAAATCAAAATAACCAACCGTCACACTGTCATAAACACGACGAGTTTTACGTTGACGTGGACAGGTCCAGCTAACAACGGTGGAGACTCAAGCACTAACTATGTCATAGAATACAGTAAAGTGGACAAATATGGAAAMTATGTGCACTGGACGACAATCAAGAATGTCAGCGGTAACGCACTTAACATTACAGGACTTGATGGAGGGTCTAAGTACAAGTTTCACGTCATAGCGGAGAACAAAAGAGGGCGTACTGAGCCTGGAGAGAAAGAGTTTGTAATTACAGATAGTGCTTCAACACAGCCACCGCCTGCAGGTTGGTAATAAGCGATTGTATTTACTAGTAATTACTGATGATAATCGCATGTTCCCTTCTAGATAAACTAATGTACGTCGACCCAGTCTACGACATAAAAGTCAACTGTACTTCACTGGCTATCCAGGTCGATCTTGCTCTCAGGCAAGTCCCTAACGCCAAACTTGAGTCATTCCGTCTTAGAGATGAATCTTGTAAACCAGTTGGACATACTTCCAGTCACGTCACCCTACGTACCAGACTTGACGGATGTGGAACAACCAGTAAGCACTACAACGAATCCGTCACGTACTACAACAGCGTGATAGCACGTGTAGTGCAATCTAAGTCTAAAATGCACATTATCGAGTTTCCATTCAGTTGCACGTTCATCAMAAGGAGGACAATAGGAACACCAAGTTTTCAAGTCGCGAAAAAAGTGTCTGTTATCGAAGGTAATCAAACTTTCATCGAAACGAGTTTAATGGTTTATGCTGTTTTGATATACTGTAGGGCAGGAAAATCTTGTCAAGGAATTACATATTTCTGATAAGTCTAATTTGTCATTTTAGTAAGATAGACAGAAACTACTGGCTACACGATAACGATTTTGCGTTCGAATTATGGAACTATTTAAACCACAGCAATTAGGGCATACTTGTTAGACTATTATTCTGAAATGACAACGTTTACTTATTGTATTATAGAGGGTTTTGGTAACTTCTCCTTCGAAATGAATCTTTTCAAATCAGCATTATTCAAACAAGCCTTCGATGTGTCAGACTATCCAGTTAGTGTTCCTATCACTAAAACACTCTTCGCACAAACCAAGCTGCTCTCGACTGACAAAAATCTSGAGGCCTTAGCATACACGTGTTTGGCAACGCCCTCTGCAGACCCACGTGACGAACTACAGTATTTGTTCATCGAGAATGGGTAAGAGAAGTACCATTATAGCTTTATATCCGCGTACAAACATAACCTTTTTATGTTTTAATATAAAAGAGATATMATTCACGTTTACTGAGAACGCCAAACAGCAAAACTAATCAGTGATCACAGTTTTTATGYATTGACGATCCGCGCTTTTGCGCTATTATACATGTATACATCTATTTCGAAAAACGTTGTCGTCACCAGGACACAGTCCACAGTCTTGAGCCTGCAAAGAATGTCGGATGGATTGCCATACGTAATTRATATATTCAAAATATATTTACCWATGGCAAACACTATTAATATACTATTGCAGGCATTTTAAAACACATCGATCAACCGGTCTCGTCATGAGACATTTTCCTTGAAAAATGTTCCACGTTTTCAAACYATCAGTTACTTCAAAGCTGCGTTCGATACAAGACCAAGAATTTTGAATAATTGAACGTGAATAATATTTAATTATATATGGCAATCCCGAGATTCTTTGCAGGCTCAAAACTGTGGACTGTGTCCTGGCGACGACAACGTTTTTCAAAATAGGTGTAAATTTAGCCGTTTTCTCGTTCATGATCGCATCGAATCGTATTTTCGTTTCTTTAAAATATTTCAAACTGGACTTAAATGCCAATTTGACGTTTTGTGTTTTTTTTTTTGCGTTCTGAGTAAACTCATACGTCAATTCATGATAACCGGCGATAGGTAAGTATCCCTTACTCTAAGAACACACTTGACTAAATTGACCAGTTATTGAAGGATTATCTTTCTCTATGTGTTTTAAGGTGTGTTCTTGACACGACGGTAAAATTTAAGCCAATTCCCGGAGTTACTCAGAAGTTTCAGATGTCACCATTTAGATTCAAAGATAAATCGAATTCCATTGTATATATCCACTGTCACRTTCTGGTTTGCCATAAAGATGACGTACATTCACGCTGTCGTAAAGGTTGTATTCCCAAAAAAAGAACAGCTAGAGATGTCACGGTGTCACGCCACTCATCGCTCCATCGTATTACGCTAGGACCTATCGAAGTGGAAACTGCGACTAAAACAGGTGACGTACAAAGTTTGTTCGCTTACTTAACGCTTATTTTTCTCCTAATTTTCATTCATTTATTTACAGGTATACTTAATGCCGACAAGAAGACAGGTCTCAGTTTAGGGCTATTGTTAGTGGCCATATTAGGTACACTTATTGTCTGTTTAGTTTTGTTTGTAGCCTTGGTGTACGCTTTACGTCATGCGGTTGTCGGCGGCGGACAAAGTGGTGGAGCAGCCCCTGAAAGAGAACCTTTAGAGATGTCGGATGTGCAAACTTAATGTATTCTTTTTAGAAGCCATGTTAATTTTAAATTGTACAAAATATATTTTAGCAAAATTACAATAAAATGTTTTTACTTTTTTATATTGTGTCAAGAACAAGGATTTTATATYTCAGTAGCCAGTATAATTCTAGTACACCCCTCCTCCTACCCTCCAAAAGTTCCCAGTCAAAATCTCAATGCAGTTTGCCAGAAGTCAAGACTGAAACATCTTTGGGAGCCAGGGGTAATCTTTTATCACAAAAATAACAAAGAAAGAAGCAGCAAAACACCATAATAAACCCCTTTAGCGATCTCATTTACGCTGGGTTAGCGTACAAATGCAAGAGACAATTGAGGCTAAMACAGCTTTAAGAAGATCGCAACTGTTCTGTGAGTATTGCTAAACGTACTCGTTTAGTATGATACTTGTGTGTAATATTTAGCTCTCTATATAAAGGTCCGTTTATACACCTGCAGTTTTTGCAGCTCGCCACGTTGCTACGGCGCAACTMAAAAAGAAGTCGCACGAGACTACAATGATACATACGAAAAAGCCATCTATCTGTTGAGATAGGAGCAAGCGGAACATAAGAGGMCCGCCCAACCCCTCTAGTGAACAGCGTGCTCAGCCTAGTTTGGCAGTGGCAGATCCAGGATTTAAAGGTGGGCGACGCGATTTTCGGGTAAGATGAAAATTGAACATCGAATTTGGKYTTTTTTTGTACATATATCTCTTTATGGAGATTCAAATAAGTATTTGTGAGGATTTTTTTATCGATACACCATTRTCGCTGGTGTAGCCACATCGTGCTCTGGTGATTTTGAGAAAATCGCGTCGCCTGCGCAAGAAAAAAATCGTTCGTGTAGCCGTGGCTTTAACATCGGATGTATGTTGTTGGGGCACTAGGGTGCGCCCAATGAAACCCCCTGGATCTGGCGCTGTTACAGTAAGAACGTGATACAAGAGATATAGTGCACTCAAATTTACCAATTCTAATGCGTTTATTAAACACATCATTGTCCAACATCTACATATTCTTATTCGGTTATAAAAAAATTATACAAAAAGCCTTTTACTATAAACACGTGCCTAAAAATGCATGCTACAATCATTAAATCAACTATAAATAGATACTTTTCAGTGAATATTTCTTGTGCTGTCATATAACCAGAGGCAAAGAATTCAAGATGAGGTTGTGTCATATTTAACAAATGCTCTTATCATAACAAGAAATAAGTCTACAGAGCTTAAGGGTTAATTGGCAAAAGGTGCCTGCAAATTATCACAAACTGACAAAGATTAAACTAGCTACCATACGATGTACTTGTTGCACGCGTCTTGTCATCGTTAAGGGGGCTTTCATTTATTAGCTCATTGGGGAGGGGGGATCGGCAGAATCATTTAGGGGGCGGTTATATAATGTTTGCAGGCAGGTGTATAAAATTTTGCCAGACCCCCCATGAGCTAATAAATGAAAGCCCCCCTAAGAAACCATGAGTAGAATTGATCTGAATAATTGGTTCGACAAGCCATGTGCGACGAGTCCGTCTGGCATGATTTGTGAGAATCGCATGTGACTATTGCATCATATCAACCAAGCGTTTGCCTTGTTCATATGACATTAGTACAAATCAAATGATTTATGTTGGAGGCGTCCTTTAAGAGACTTTCGCTCGTCTATGTCAGCGGTGTTTGTGGCATGACAACGTCATTTACTTATAAACCGAATTTATAATAAAATTCAAGCAGGTTTTTTCAGGTTTTCAATAAAGGTTTAACACTAAAGGTTATCATGTATTTTATGTGTGTAGACTTCTATTGCTAAATATTCACCACAGCAAAGATAATTCCCACCAAAATACACCATAGACTGGACGTSAGAGAATGGGCCGAATCCCAAGCTAAAATTGAAAACAAAAAACAAAAAAACAATTGCGTCAGCAAATGAATGAAATTTTATGAAACCATTAAAAGTGAACATACCATATGGCAAGACGTAATAGATGGCGTAGGTAGGTTCGCTTCTTTGACCTTTATCATTAATAGCAACGACTTCAAATCGATACGACACATTTTTTCTCAGGCCACCAATGCGCTGCTCGAAGGTGTTGGACGTGTATACTTGAGTATGGCCTGGTTCRGGAAGAGGTGGAGTTAATAAAATGTAATGATATCATATTCTTATAGACTCCTTTCTCTCCCATCTGGGGGTCAAAATCTTTGATTCTACAGCAGCTAAACGTAACTCACACGCCGTCAGTGTTGATGATGACAATATTCACAATCAAATCGATGACCTACCCGTCTCTTCGATGTCCTCTTCTTCTCTGACCAGAATCCAGTAATACAACGATGATATTTCATCTTCTTTTAGGTTTTCTGGTGCCTTCCATCGCAAGTCCAAAAAGGTTCGGTCAAGATCCTTCTGTACCGGTGCAAATACGATTGGGCGACCTGGGCTGCCTGAGTATTACAAACGATGATCAATGTTAAATATTACAAGGGAACTGCTACTATCAAGGCCGACAAGACCTACGACCATGACTACAACTGTCGACGGTAGTAGAAATAGTTTGAATCAGTTGCAGCCATGTTTTAAAGGTGAYGACTTGGATACGTTTTATGTGATGGTTGTAGGCAAACGTTAAGCTGTCTAATCCGACATTTGTTGTTGTTGCGAGATGATGTTAACTTACATGTCTTGCAGCAAGCAATAGTAATTATACTTGTAAATACATAATATCTAATATACTAATGAACGATGCAAAACTAAATTGACTGAATAATATATTACAAAGTAAATTATGTAGACTTTCACGTTGTGTGTTTGGATACCCTGATTCCAGAGGTTTTCTCTTCTTTTATAGATGTTGTTTTTTGTTTAGTATTCATCGTATTTTTGTCTTTCCTTTTCAAATTTAACGTCGTTTAATTYAAAATACTAAAAATACATCTATTAAAGAAGAGAAAACCTCTGGAACCAGGGTAGGGTTTGGATACTTACAAGTGGYATTAGTACGGAAGACGATCCTTGCCTCGGCCCCAGCCCCCTGTCGGTTCATAGCTCGAATTGTTATCGTGTACTCTTTGTTGGGTTGAAGTCCATGAATCCTGTATTCAGGGTACGAATCATTGGTATTGAACTTTTTATTGTTTTGGTCTGTAATAACATAGCGATCAATCTGAAACAATCGTAGTAGAAAGATTAAGTTTGTAATGACATCCATCGAGGATTCATTCACAAGACCGTACCAGCATGCCTCCTTTATACTCTGGTGGATCCCACGTAAAGTTTGCTTTATCGCAGTCAACAATTATTTTGACATTCTCGGGCTTTCCTGGAGGAGCTAAAAGAAGAAAGAAGATAAAGTTACTACTTGTTGGAAATAAGATCAGTTAATGAATGGTTAATGGTTAGGGCATATCTCAYTGGACCAGGTTCCCGCTATCACAGACAGCTAAAAATAATTATAGAAAAAATCACCCTAATCTATGCATGTCAAGTGTGGTATTTSTTACTTGGTGTACACATCACTTTTGCTTTTGTCTTATTTCAGTAGTAATTTTCTTATATTCTTCTATCAAAAAGCGCTAAATCAATGTTGGACTTTGTTAAGTTGTATACTAAAAGACTTATTTGTCATGTCGTTAAGTTCAASAAGTGTATGTCCACACATACAATGTTGCCTGGTGTCTGTATCATCATGCTCCCTCGTTGTTTTATACAAGTTACAGTAAAGACTTACTGGCATGTCTGATCCACACAGTATAGTTGACTTCACCATAGATGTTACTCCCGATGCAACTGTATGGACCAAAGTCTTCCCAACTGTATGTCCACACATACAATGTTGCCTGGTCTGTTCCATTAGTGAGTTCATAAAAGCCACGCCAAATTGTAACGTTAGCTTTTGGCCAGGAAACAAAGTCACAGTTGATCATCAAAGGTTTGGGATTTCCAACATATGAAAATATTTCATCAGGACTTCCTTGTGGATTGATAACAGGACGATCTGTATGGAAAACAAGACAAATATACCTGATGTACACATGGCTAATTCGTTTATATACCATTTACTGTTCATAATTTATTATCTTTAGAATTTTTCTATAAAATACAAGCATAAAGTCTTTATAAAAACTGCAGTCCTCTTCCAGCCTATCAGACTGTTTCCAAGAAACGGTGCGAACTGAGGTCTCGACGACATAGTGCCTTGTAATAAAATAAAAGACCAGATCTTTACTGACCCCGCGTCATTCATTGCGTTCGGATGTSTTTATTTACCTTTAGTAAACACGGCGAAAGTCTGGTTGACAACAATTATTTTTCCGTTGCTGTCCCTTGCACTACTCCAAGCTTCACACGAGTAATTGCCCAAGTCGTGCTCCCTGACGAGGTAGTATTCTACAAGAGCTTCACCAGGTTTCATCTATAACAGTCAAATGGGTATACAGCTATTTCAAAAAAATGTTGTCGAGAGGAACGGCGAACGGCTATTGTCGAAGGGAGAATGCACGACGGAAAGGGACTATGGTTACACTGTTTTGACAAACAAAATTTAACTTATTGCATTCAACCATGCATAGGAATGGTGACTTAATGGAGCCAAAGATTACCACAGACTATCTTACAGTATAAATCAGTTGTTATTTCTCATCAGTGAGCAAAACCCCTGGCTACTTTCGTCGTTCGACAATTGACATTCGCTATTTTATTCGACAACCTCTTTTGGAAAAGGGTATATTATATATCGATTAAATATAAGTTAGTCAGATATCGTTTAGTGATGCATCGCGCGACCTACAATCTTGTTTTTTTTTCGTGATAACATTGACTTGTAAGTAGTTCTARTATCATACCTCGAGTCGAGGGTGTATTCTTCCACCTTGACGTATGACGACAGTGGGCTTGGGATAACCCTGAGCTTTACAAGCGATCGTGTATTCTCTGAACAATACTGGATAATATACCCACGGGAATTTCGGATCAAATATTTTCGGTGCCTCTGTAAAAACAATTTCTCCCGTTAAACAACAGTTGAAACTCGTCACCTGTAGATGAGCCTGGCGCTGTTGCTTAGGTGGGAGGTGTCGAACATAAATAGAAACCAACGTTGCCATGGMAACCCAGGCCTACGAAACGTAACGCGATGATTACCATAGCAACCCGGGCCTATCTTACGGAACACAATGGTTACCATGGCAACCCTAACGTACGGAACGGTCTAAGATGGTTACCATGGCAACCCTGTCCCACCCTACACACCAAGCACATCCAAAACACCTCCCTTCTCGAAGAACCCCTGTGGCTCGATGACTTTGCCTACTTTCCCCTTTTTGTGTCTTGATTGTTTTTCATTTGGTGGTGTCGAAGCCCTTAGTAAATGTTACCAGTCAATATAAATTTTACCCACCATAAACGTCCAGAATCTCTGCTACAGCTGTTGCTTTTTGAGATCCTATAGAAGCTTCACATGTCCACTTGCCCTTGTCACTGTCCTGGACGTCCGTGATATAAAATGTATTTTTTTCGACTCTATAGCGTGGATTGAATGTGGAGACTGGGTTACCGGTTGGATCCAGCCATCTTACGGTAGGTTTTGGTTCACCGTCCACAATGCAAGTAAACGAAGTATTGTATCCTCGAGTGACATAACGCTTTTCTGGATGTGGTGGCTGAATAATTGTCGCAGGAACTGTAAAATATATTTTATCGTAAGTTCACGTTTTTAGAAACAAATCATCGCGTATCATTAACAATATCACGCTCTAACAGGATAAACTCCTTGTTGTTTTGTTTTTTGACTACTGAGAATTTCTCAAGTCGGCTATTGATTTGGACTTCAAGTTGGGTAAACGTCTAGAGAACTACGTGCAAGTACTATTAGACACAGTGCTTAAAGCCATAAGGACGTGGCTAGCGATTTATTGTTCAATTTAATACACTCTCCATGTATTGAAAATATGTTTATAAGGACAACTCAGCTGGTTCAAAACTTTCTGTTTTTCTTATGAAGTAAATACTTTTAATACCATGTCAGTAGCCTGGCTACAGGACGCTTTATCCAGTTTATCATGTAAGAGAATTACTCGTAACAGACGTAAGAATTTCAGTGTGGAAATAAAGAATACAAACAAAGAAATAATCAACTCACATGAAGCAAAGACTTCGATTTTGGCTGAATTTTCTCTTAGATTTTCCTGGTTGTATGTGACGGTATAATTTCCAGAATCTGTTCGTTTGACATCTTTTATTCTTAACGATCCATCAGACAATAATTCGTATCTATCTAATGCCAGGTTGATCTCTTTGTCATCTTTATCCTTCCATGTGACTTTTGGTTTTGGGAATCCCAGAATTTCTACTTTGATTGTTCCAGACTTGAACAATGCAAGATATTGCTTTTTTTCAATAGGTTCTAAGAACAGAGCTGTGCAAATGCAATTGATTAAGAATCATCACTATCAGTATCTCAAAACAAGTCATGTGACATGGCTGTATGGTGTTTCTAATGAACCACCTGAGAACACAAAATACCATAACTTTATGTTTTCTTTGTTACGCAGGACAGTAGCGTTTCAGTAAGGACAGTATCGTTTCAGTAAGGACAGTAGCATTTCAGTTAGGTCAGTAGCGTTTCAGTAAGGACAGTAGCATTTCAGTTAGGACAGTAGCGTTTCAGTAAGGACAGTAGCGATTAAGTTAGGACAGTA